AGGAGAATATATTTGACTGTACATGAGAGTTTTTTTGGCTTCATAACTATTCATTTTTTGGGTGAGACAGATAGTTCAAGTCTTGGGAACCTAAAACCTCTTGAACCACTGTCACTGCTGGAAGATGAAGACAATCTTGACTTTTTAGATGGTAGGGACAGACCTGCACTTCCCTCTGCTCCTGCTTCACTGCCCTCTGTCACTTCATATGAGCCCTTAGACTTTGAACCAAACCCTCCAAAGGTGCCAAACTTCAACTTGCTTTTCTTTCCTTTGACCTTGCTTCCTCCCAGGTCTAATGAAATGTCGCCACCCTCAGCATCTAGGTGAACTGAAGGAGAACTGACTGCAAGCCCTCCCTCATCACTCAGAGACGATGACCGATGCCTTGATTTCTTGAAAAAATCCAGTGAGGCTGACTTGCCTTTAGTTGACACACCAAGTTCAGGATCACCTTCTAGTTTTAATTTCCCAACTATCAATTCCCCAGTTTGTACACTTAGATCTTTACTTCCTTTTCCACTGGCACTCAATTCTCCCTCAAGTCCCCGAACGTCACCTACACTACTACCCTTTGCTTTAGATTTACCAAATAGTTTTGGCATCTTTACCTTTACTTTGCTTTCACTTTGCTTTAGTTCTGGACTGGCAACCTCAACATTTTGGGCACTGACAGATGGATGCTGTAGATGTATTCCTCCAGCTGCTGCAAATTCAGATTTTACATTTTCTCCACCTTCTTGGCCTTCTGGCTGAGGAAGAGCAATACCAAATTTTGGTACCTTGATTTTGGGGAATATTGCTATATCCTCTGGGTATTGAAGGCCACCAATTGCACTGCCCATTGGAACATTTGCATCAACCTCTGCCCCATATTTCACATTTTTCATTTTAATATCAGAAGTCTTGAATTTCAAATCTGACCCTTCCAACATAACATCTGGACACTCAACAGAAGACCCATCAGAAGCAGCATTTAGGCTTACAGATGGCATATCAGGTGATTTCAGTCCCTCAGATAAAGATCCATCGCCTTTCAATTTTGGTGATTTGATATCTAATTCCACATCAGGAAAATGAAGCTTACCAAAAATAGGCTTCTTTACCTTTGTTCCTTTAACATGAACATTGGGTGTGTCTACATCCAGGTCTACTACTGGTGTTTCTATGTCAAAATCAGGTTTCTTTGCCTTTGCTTTCACTTTAGGAAGCTTAAATTTACCCCTTTTCCCTTTTACATTGATGTCAATATCAGGGGCATCCAGACTTGCTTCAGTGTCTGGGAGATGTACATCTGTTCTGGAACCTTTAGCTCCCACGCTGAACATGGGTTTCTTAACCATTGATCCAGGTCCTTCGACTTCTATCGATTTCATTCCAAACTTAGGACCTTTGAACTTGGGAAATGTAACACCTGTCTTTCCACCTTCTATTGTCATGGTTGGTGATTTAATATTAGCTTTTGGAACTTTGATATCCCTTTCCATTTTGGGCACTGATGCATCCATCTCAGCTTTTATTGTAGGCCCTTTGATTCTGGGCATTTGAATTTCACCCTTAAAGCCTTCAACCTCTGGACCTTTAACATCAATGACAGGTGGTTTAATGTCTCCAATATTCAGAGCTGACACATCAACGTCTGGCAGTGTTGGTCCTTTTATGGTTGGCATTTTGACTTCAGGGCCTTCCAGCTTTGGAACTGAGACATCAACACCACCTTTAGGAGTAGAACCTTTAAGATTGAAATCCACACCGGGCATGGAAAGTTTGGGTCCTGAAACAGTTGGCATGTTGAATCTGGGCCCTTTAAACTTACCACTAGGACTCTCAATATCAACATCTAGTCCTGTGATATCCACTTCAGGTGCTTTAATATCAATGTCTGCTGTTGGAAGGCTGACATCAATTTCTGGCCCTTCAAGTTTAGGACCTTTTCCACCAAAAGTTGGCATATTAAACTTAGGCATTTTAAATCCTCCTTTCTGACTATCGAAATCAACATCTGGTCCTTCAATGTCAACCTTGGGAGCTTTAATACCACCCTCAATCTTTGGAACAGACACATCGACATTTCCCTTCATTTTGGGCCCCTTCAGACCAAAATCCCATCCTGGAAGCTTGGGTCCTGACAGTGATGGCAATTTGTTCTTGGACCCTTTCAGTTTTGCATCAGGACCTTCAATGTCAAATTCTGGGCCTTTAATGTCAACCTCAGGTACATTAACTTCAATATTAGCTTTTGGAAGGTTTACATCAACATCTGGACCAATCACTTTCTGACCCTTGAAGCCAAAGGAAGGCATTTTTATTTGAGGCATGTCAAATCCACCTTTTGGACCTTCAACATCAACCTGAGGACCTTTAATATCAATCTCTGGAGCACTGATATCAACACCAGGCGCTTTTATGTCTCCTTCAATCTTTGGAAGTGACAAATCACCTTTAAATGTGGGCCCTTTCCGATTGAAGTCCACATCTGGCATACTGATCTTTGGTCCAGTGATGGTTGGCATTTGGAATCTTGGTCCCTTGATCTTGCCACCAGGACTCTCAAGGTCAACCTCTGGTCCTTTGATATCCAATCCAGGGGCTTTAATATCAATATCTGTTTCTGGGAAACTGACATCAACTTCAGGCCCTTCAAGTTTTGGACCTTTCCCACCAAAGCTGGGCATTTTAAATTTCGGCATTTTGAATCCTCCTCTGGGCCCCTCAATGTCAACTTCTGGTCCTTCAATGTCAACTGTGGGAATTTTGATGTCAC